TCACTACTGCCCTCCTGGCAGCATCATACATATGTGACCAATATGACGCACACGATTGGAAGTTGGAACAATATCTGAACTCTGAACATTGTAAAGCGCTTTGGGTGACCTTGGTCTGTAAAATGCGCCAAATGAATAAACATTACTTACTTACTTCTCTTAGACTGACAAAACATGTGATCATATTGTAAAGATGATAATTGTAAACTAATCAAACAGTTGTGTCCCTCCTTATCAGTCCCATTCAGTAGTGTTGGTGCCTGTGTACAGTGCTAACAGCAGCAGGTGTGGTTGTATAATCACATCGGCCTTTTCGTCTGTCTCCCAGCAGCACAATAAACTGGTTAATGATTAAACTACTACCATCTCTATTATAGATGTGTTTTCAAGCGCTCATCTTGATTCCTTTAAATATGTTCTACAGAGCCTGCTCTCGAAATGGCAATTTTTATGCTTGGCAAATGGCAAAGACTGAAATGATTTAAGTAGAGGTGAGGAAAGATATGTGAAACAGATATTATTGTAATTTTATGGTATATCTGGTATGGTATATTGGGGGACAGTAGCTCAGTTGGTAGAGCATTGGCTTTTGAGCCCGAAGGTCGTGGGTTCGAGCCCACCACGAGACCTTCTCTGATGTTTGCTTGTTAGCTGATGTCCGTAAAAATAGCGTCAATCCATCTTGTCAAACCACCTCCAGACTTTTCAGTTCTGTCCGCTTTTACGGCTGGGGTCTTTCATTTCACGGTCACTTTTACGCTTCTAAACATTGCTCTGCACTGCAATGTACTCCTTCATCCCTAGCGCTACCTTCGCTAACACTTAGCTATTTACACTCACTCGGGTGCACCATCGAGCTAAAACTGACCGCATCCGCAAACCGGGTCGAGATGGGTCGGACCAAGTCGGACCTTAGATCCATACTCCAGCCCGTGGAAACGGCCCTAATGTCCGCAAACGTCCATTTCTTGCAGATTGCTCCTCATTTGAACCGAGTCAGAGTCCTCAAAATCATAATTACTGTCATAACAAGTACGCAAGGGCTCATAAATAAAAGCCCTTGACTTGTCTTGTCCATCACTGAATGACAAATATCTGTTTAAAACGTCCGTATACAACGTTATGGGTTACAAATGCATATCAACAAAGCCCAATGACACCTATGTGTACGTCACTTACGGTCTCGGCAATTTTTCCGTGAATGTCTTTTTGCATGATTATTATTGATAGAAACTGCTAAGGGTGAAACAATCTGTCAAAATGAGTTTTATTTAACACAAAAAAGTACCACAATATACGAACAAAATAAGATTAGGTCCCTTTTAACCCACTTTGCCTACAAGGAGTGCGGAAGTGATGTTCGCTGCTTGCTTTGAAATGTATATGCATATGTGTATGTATCAATCTGAAATTTCCCCATTGTGGGACTAATAAAGGACCTTCTTCATACCAGATATTAGGTCAACACATAGTACTCATCATATTTGACCGTTTCTGAACAAAAGTTTAAAGCGTTATTCTTAATTAAGATTACAATGGACATGTAGCAGGATGGTGACTCGGAGGTAGTCCACACAGAAGGGATCTCACTCCCAGAGGGAACAATAGCAGACGTTGAGGACAGCTACAAGTATCTCGGTATACCACAGGCAAATGGCAACCTCGAACTGGCAACAAGGAAAATGGTAACTGCCAAATACCTCCAGAGAGTAAGGCAGATTCTAAAAAGACAACTCACTGGCAAGAACAACGCCCTGGCAATTAACAGCTATGCCCTGCCAGTGATCAGATACCCTGCAGGAATAATCAGGTGGTTAAAGGAAGAGATTCAGACCACAGATATTATAATTCAAAAGCTCCTCACCATGCATGGCGGGTTCCATCTCAAATCCAGTCACCTGAGACTGTATGCAAGCCGTGAAGAAGGCCGTGGACTAGTGAGTGTGAGAGCCACTGTTCAGGACAAAACATCCAAACTCCATAACTACATCATGGAGAAGGCCCAAATGGATGATGCACTCAGACAGTGGCGAGATTGTCCTCCCATCATTCTTTGTTCTCTTCACTGGCTCCCTGTGCACCTTCGTATTGATTTTAAGATTCTGTTATTTGTGTTCAAATGTTTGCGTGGATTGGCCCCTCAGTATCTGACTGATCTGCTTGTGCCCCAAGCAGATCTAAGATCAGCAGACCAGGCTCTCTTAGTGGTCCCTAAGACCAGAAAGAAGTCGAGAGGGGATCGGGCTTTTGCAGCAGCAGCTCCCAGACTGTGGAATGGTCTGCCTCTGCATATTAGACTGGCGGACTCACTTCCTGTTTTTAAGTCGCTTCTTAAGACTCATCTTTTTACTTTGGCTTTTAACTCAGTGGGTTGACTCTCTGTGCAATTTGTATTCTTGTATATGTTTCTATATTATATTGTCTTTTTAATTGTGTTCAGCACTTTAGTCAACTGTGTTGTTTTTAAAGTGCTCTATAAATAAAGTTATTATTTATTATTATCATGGGAGGACAATCCCATACACGGCATGTACCACAGGAGCATAGCAGAAGTGGCTGATCTGGGGAAGTCCTACCAATGGCTAGAAAGGGTTGGCCTATTAGGCAGCACAGAGGCACTCATCATGGCTGCACAGGAGCAGGCCCTGAGCACCAGAGCGATAAGATAAGAGTTCCTTTATTCGTCCCACAGTGGGGAAATTTCGATGTTGCAGTGCACAGACAGGACAGTAGTAAGAGCACACAAGGAGCACACAATATAATATACAAAAAAGTAGTAGCTATATTACTTAACCATCTGTAAATGCTGTAAATGCTTCGATACCAGTCTTTCAAAATAAAATATATACATATACAGTGGGGCAAAAAAGTATTTAGTCAAGTTGTACAAGTTCTCCCACTTAAAATAATGACAAAGGTCTGTAATTTTCATCATAGGTATACTTCAACTGTGAGATACAGAATGTGAAAAAAAAATCCAGGAATTCACATATTAGGATTTTTAAAGAATTTATTTGTAAATCATGGTGGACAATAAGTATTTGGTCATTTCAAACAAGGAAGATAACTTCTTCTTTAAGAAGCTCTTCTGTCCTCTGCTCGTTAACCAGTTCAAACAGGTGCCATTAATACAGGTATCTGTATAAAAGACACCTGTCCACAGCCTCAAACAGTCAGACTCCAAACTCCACTATGGCCAAGACCAAAGAGCTGTCGAAGAACACCAGGAAAAGAATTGTAGACCTGCACCAGACTGGGAAGAGTGAATCTACAATAGGCAAGCAGCTTGGTGTGAACAAATCAACTGTGGGAGCAATTATCAGAAAATGGAAGACATACAAGACCACTGATAATCTCCCTCGATCTGGGGCTCCACGCAAGATCTCATCCCGTGGGGTCAAAATGATCATGAGAACGGTGATCAAAAATCCCAGAACCACACAGGGGGACCTGGTGAAAGACCTGCAGAGAGCTGGGACCAAAGTAACAAAGGTTACCATCAGTAACACACTACGACGACAGGGAATCAAATCCTGCAGTGCCAGACGTGTCCCCCTGCTGAAGCCAGTGCATGTCCAGGCCCGTCTGAAGTTTGCCAGAGAGCACATGGATGATACAGCAGAGGATTGGGAGAATGTCATGTGGTCAGATGAAACCAAAGTAGAACTGTTTGGTATAAACTCAACTCGTCGTGTTTGGAGGAAGAAGAATACTGAGTTGCATCCCAAGAACACCATACCTACTGTGAAGCATGGGGGTGGAAACATCATGCTTTGGGGCTGTTTTTCTGCAGAGGGGACAGGACGACTGATTCGTGTTAAGGAAAGAATGAATGGGGCCATGTATCTTGAGATTTTGAGCCAAAACCTCCTTCCATCAGTAAGAGCTTTGAAGATGAAACGTGGCTGGGTCTTCCAGCATGACAACGATCCCAAACACACCGCCCGGGCAACGAAGGAGTGGCTCCGTAAGAAGCATTTGAAAGTCCTGGAGTGGCCTAGCCAGTTTGCAGACCTCAACCCCATTGAAAATCTGTTGAGGGAGTTGAAAGTCCGTGTTGCTCGGCGACAGCCCCAAAACATTACTGCTCTCAAGAAGATCTGCATGGAGGAATGGGCCAAAATACCAGCTACTGTGTGTGCAAACCTGGTAAAGACCTATGGTAATTGTTTGACCTCTGTTATTGCCAACAAAGGTTATATTACAAAGTATTGAGTTGAATCTTTGTTATTGACCAAATACTTATTTTCCACCATAATTTACAAATAAATTCTTTAAAAATCCTACAATGTGAATTCCTGGATATTTTTTCACATTCTGTCTCTCACAGTTGAAGTGCACCTATGATGAAAATTACAGACCTCTGTCATTATTTTAAGTGGAAGAACTTGCACAATCAGTGGCTGACTAAATAGTAGTAAGTAGTAGTAAGTAAGTAATCTTTATTTATATACCACCTTTTCACTGCAGATCTGAGTCTCAAAGCGGTTTACAATTGTTAATTTTAGGCAATTGTCTCTCACTCCACACAGAGATGGGAGCGGGGCCAGTACAGGAGGCGCATGCTAGAACTATTGGACATATTTTTAGTGGTAGGGGAAACCGGAGTACCCGGAGGAAACCTACGCAGACACGGGGAGAACATGCAAACTCCACTCAGAAAGGCCCTGGTCCGACCGGGATTCGAACCCAGGACCTTCTTGCTGAGAGGCGAGAGTGCTATCCACTCAGCCACCGTGCCGCCCGTGGGGCAAAAAAATAGTTTTTTGCCCCACTGTGTATGTGTGTGTATATGTATGTGTGTATATATGTATATATAATATATATAATCGAAGCAGTTGCACAAAGCCAGATGCATTTATATATTTTTATATATATATATATATATATATATATATATAAAAATATAAATAAATGCATGCCAACCCTAGAATGTCCATTAATCTAAATCACCCTCCTACAACACTATTTAACCTTTTTTCCCTTTCTTTTTCCCCCAGTGTCCCCAATTCGTGTCCGGCCAGCCCGCGGGGAGCCGGGTCGTCGGGTTATCGCTATGGCTGCAACATTACATCCGACCTGCAGCTGGCAGCAGAGTACGCAGCCCAGGCCGTGTGCGAGCAGAGGAGGAGCGCGGTGGAGCAGAGAGGAGGGGTGGCAGAGGCCAGGGGGGAGGCTGTGGGTGGGGACAGTCTCAGGGTGAGTGAGATACATCAGCAATCAAGCATTTCTATCAGTTCATTCAGTACGTTAACAAAGCACAAGATAAATATTTTAAATGTAGTATTTGAGCGACTAGTTCTGCTGCAGTTGGGCCTGTGTCAAAATCAAATGCTCAAAGTGACAAGATTTTGTGATTTACATTTTCCAAAAGTATAGGGATATCTGTGAAGGTATAGAAACTGAAATAGATCATCTTTTGAATGCGCTGGAAAACGGCAGCAAGTTGTTTAGTGCTTTTTCAATTTTTATTTTTATTGCTTTTTTCTACCTGAGATGTTGCTGCAGTTCAGTGTTCATGGTTTTGCTCTGATCTAGACTGGAGCGGAGAAGATTCATGGTCCGAACCAAGTGAATTTCATCTCTCCTGACCGCCAGAGACGGTGCATAGCACTGAATGTTCCCTTCGCGAATGCGCAGTTTGAGTAGTAATACCAACTGCGTCACAACTCTGACCCCCTGGATGATGCTCCGGAGGTTATATAGTCTAGCGTCATCCATCACTCTGTTCCTTTTTTCTTCTCGCGTGCGGTTCGAAACGCTTTACAACTAACCTTGTGTCAACTGCATTCGCCAAACGCCCTCTCTTCACCGGAGCTGCGGTTTCGGCCGTTCGGCGCGACAGTTATGTTTTCCTGAAGGTATTTGTTTGCGATAACAGTCTGGATGTGTTGGCTAGCTACTTGTGTACTGTATGATTGTATATAGTGAAGGCTGCTGTTGGCACCTCTGCTCACATGTACAGTATGTGTGTTTAATTGCAGTTAGCTATTTGCTAACTGTATGTGATTGTATGTAGAGAAGGCTGCTGTTCGCGCAACTCTTTCAACGTTTGTTGTCAATTCGGTACGCTATTGCTAACTGTATGATATGTATAGTGGAGGCTGCTGTTAGCGCGCCTGCTCTTATGTCTGTGTAATCAATTACAGTAAGCTATTGTTATGGGGCTTTCACACCGCCAACACTGGAATGCTGAAGCCTCGCGCACCAGACACACATTCTCTGATTTTCAGACGCAGGGGTCTTAAGACCAGAAGCCCTGGCCTGCGGTGGCGCGCGCCGGAAATGGCAGAAGTAGCTGGCGGGCTTTGATGCTAATGGAGTAAAGCTAGAGGCTTTTTGTGTAAAGTTCTTCTCCAATAATGCAGCTCGGCAGCGTCTCTGTGACGGCAGAGACCTTCCAGAGACTTTATATAACAGCAGTATGTGTTCACGGAGGTGCGCCATACATTTATTTTATTATTAAACGGTACTTCCGCATCGGCGAACAGGCTCGAAGCAGTTGCACAAAGCCAGATTCTGTTCTTGCATCCAGAGTGGAACTTTAGTCTGTGGAGTTGGAGGCAATAAAATCATTGTTCCAAACACATCATGCTGCTAAAGCTGGGCATACACAGCGATATTTTCAATTGTTCAGCATGGCAACTGGGTCAACGCAATTTGACAAATTCAACCGGGGATGCTACAACACCCACATCAACAACTACAGCTGTTTGGCCACATGTGAACTTTGCGAAATTGCTAATCTGGACAAAAACATGAACCGCTAACATGTTTCCCGCTAACTTCAATTGAGCCATTTCGTCCTTGGTAGTGCGGGGAGGACACATCATCCAGAGTTTGGTTCCATGTACGAACCGCTGCTATGCTGCTTCCATCAGTGTTTGCGCAGGCGCAGTGCCAGAGGTAGAGGGTAATCGGGTTGTAGACGCTCGTAGCATTGATTCAACCGACCAGAATTTCCATTTTGGTTTTCATCCGACAATACGATTGTCGATCGGGAGGTGGTCTTGAGTAGGGTTGCCAACTTGAGAACAAAAAAATAAGGGACACCATTTGGGCGGATCGGGTTGAGCATTTTTTAGTCCTAATTTCAGTCTACACAGTAATCACGGAATTTCATAAAACCCCGGTTTTTAGAATGTAATTTATTAACTACATATAAAAAAAAAAAAAATCCTTAGTCAGAAATTTAATTTAATAAACAGGTGGAACTCTTTGGCTTGTAAAGGACTTAATGCATGCTTAATAAGTAATATAAAATATAAAAAAGACAAAGACTATAATATACATTATTTATGGATGTTACAGTAAAGAACATTTACCAATAAAAGCAAATAAAAAAAAGAATAACATATGTATTCATTAAACCTCACAACTGTTGAAATCAAAGTCTGTAGCAGTTAGATATGGTCATTACTGTCTGAGAGTTTAGTGCGTGTTCATGGCTTCAGTAAAAGCTGTTGTTCGTTTACAAAGCTGGCCTTGACATTCATTGACGCTCCCTAAGCACTTTTCTCTGCGCTTGCAGTGCATTGGATTCAATGGATTTCTCTGCATTAAAACAGCGCACTGGATTTGAAAAATCAACGTAGAGATGATCATTTTAGAACAATTACTTTTGTTTAACAAATCTTTTGTGAGCTATTGACCTCGGAAGTCCGAATCTGGGAATATGACGCTACTTTACCAAACTTTTGCTAAGAAGATGCTGCGGGCACGGCCCACGCTGCCACTTGTCAACATTAAACCCATGGATGTGATCAAGCCTACGCCTCCTTTGACACTGATTGGCCGAAAGGTAGACGCTTAAACTGTGATTACTTTGTGTGCGTGTGTGACATGCAGTGAGTGAGTGATGCATTTAAGGTGGCTCTGAAAATACGGGGCAAAAGCCGTCCCGTATCCATTCAATACGGGACGCAAATAGTTTTTCTATCATACGGGACAATTCCGTATTTCAAGGGACGGTTGGCAACCCTAGTTCTCATTACCCTGTGTCGTATACACGATGTGAGACGCACGAGTAAGCTTTAACTCGGCCTGATCCAATAAATTCTCGCACAAGTGAGAAATTGTCTCAAAGTGGCAAATATCGCACAGTGTATGCCTTCCCTTCATGTACTACCACTACACTCATCTTAATTCAACATTTCTGTGAACACAACATGCAAAGTCCTGACACGGGCTGTTTCTGCGTAACGGCAGCGCCTCTCTGCTGAGTGTGTTTGGTGTCTGCGCGGTGTGACTCTGGCTCGTTATTATAATAGATCCATGCTCTGGCTGGGCTTGGAGTGTCAATGTGAGGATATACAGTTTGGTAAAGCTGCGGCAGGCAGACATCAGTCAGATATCTCCGCGATGGCAGATTGAAGCAGAGTACATGAGTCGTTTGAACCGAACTGATGTCTGCCAGCGCTTTCCGAAACAGACAAGGGCTGGGGGCAGAGGGGAATAAATTCCATAACTTTTGTGCATATTTCGTGTTCTTTCTTACGTCATTACTGAGTGGTTGTTGTCGCTGTAGAATCTCCATTACTTATAGCTGCATGAGTTGCTTGTTTACGCAGTTTTGACGAGAGAACGTAACGTGTGCGCATGAATCCTCATGTCATCTGATAGGTCTTTGTGATCGGCACATTTCACCGATCACACAAATTAAGCCGTGATCGGCCGATTATAATCGGCTACTGATCGATTGGTGCACCTCCTATTAATGCGCCCCGCTAATGTGATTGGCAAGACAATCCAAATATCTAAGTTTGTCTTTGTTTCCTTGAGCTATTTAGAAAAATTGTGTTTCTTTAAATCACAATAGTATTTAAATTGAGATGATATTGCAAATGGGAAGGTACTAAGAATACCTTTATTTGTCCCACAGTGGGGAAATTTCGATGTTGCAGCGCACATATAGGACAGTAATAAGAGCACACAGGGAGCACACAATATATACAAATAAGTAGTAGCTATTTTTCTTAACTAACATAACTAGCTGTAGATGCTGAAAATGCTTCAATACCAGTCACACAGCGAGGGTGAATTAGTCTGTCACTGAAGTTGCTGGAGTTGCTGAAGTTGCTGGAGTTTTGATTATGTTCCCATTTAATTGAATACAAAACAAAACAATTGAGGTGAACACATTGTTTTTATGGTCTTTGTCATCATCACACGGTATCTGGATCACTGCAGTTTTTATTTCACCTGGTTTTGGACCAATAATCTGAAAGAAAGCCCCTTTTACCATTGGTTTTTAAAATAACAGCCTTTCTGGAGGTGGCTTGCATCGTAGAAAGTTAAAACCATATTTTTGAAAATGTTTTTGAGAGAATTTATTTGTGACATTATGGCTCGACAACATTAATCACATTCATCACCGCCCATTGTGCCTTGGTTTCAGTTTTGGTTTACATGCTTCCGTCTTCTCTTGCAGGACGACTCCAAACCACCATATTCCTACGCACAGCTCATCGTTCAGGCCATTTCTTCTGCTCCAGACAAACAGCTGACTCTGAGTGGCATCTACGCCCACATAACGAAACATTACCCATACTACCGCACGGCAGATAAAGGCTGGCAGGTTGGTAGCTTCATCCCTCGCTCCTTTTCTCGTCAATAACTGCATGTATTCTCTCTCCATACTCTTATTTTAGTAGCAGAGCATTGCCCTTAAAACAACTAATATGATGCATTGTTTGTGTTCATGTTCCCTTAAACATGAGGGTTAATGTTTAAGAATATGAAATCCTTTTGTTAAGCAGAAAATATCTGGCTTAACACTTGAACTATCAAAGAATTTCTCCCTCACACTCTCTGATTTGTTGTCCGCAGAACTCCATCCGACACAACCTGTCCCTGAACCGTTACTTTCTTAAGGTGGCCCGGTCCCAGGATGAGCCGGGAAAAGGTAGCTTCTGGAGGGTGGACTCGGCGTCAGAAAGCAAGCTGGTGGAGCAGGCCTTCAGGAAGAGGCGACAGAGGGGGGTGGCATGCTTCAGGACGCCATTCGGACCCCTTTCGTCCAGGTAGGATCCTCCACAGCAGTAAGAGAGAGAAAAACTGGGGAAATGAGCTTTGGATTGGTAAATGTGTAGTTCATTTGTGTAGTTCTGGGCTCAAGTTTCTCTGGTTTAAATCCACCAGGATAATTATCAGGGAGACGGTTATGGCCATTTCATGCACATAACTTGTTCTGCGTGTGCGCTCTGAGACATAATGCTCTACTTTACTTCCATGGGTATTGGTTCATCATAATAATACATCTGAATCATGAATGCAGTAGCACCACATTTTGGATTTCTTCCACGTTATTGGAGTAATCAACAGCAGTAGTCTGAGGATTATAGTAATCAATTTTTTCCTGATATTATGATAAAATCCTTCGAGCATTACAGGAGCATGAAGGTCTTTGTTTCCTCCCCCTGTGTAGGAGTGCCCCAGCGTCCCCAACACACCAGGGGCTGCTGTCTCCCCCCTCCAGCGGCCTGCAGACCCCAGAGTGTCTGAGCAGAGAGGGCTCCCCCATCCCCCATGACCACCACGAGCAGCTGGTCAACAAGCTGTCCTCTGTGCCCGAGTATAGGTACTCTCAGAGTGCCCCAGGTCAGTGTACATCAAAAAGCTACTCAGAAGAAATATACTGTATTGTTTTCATTTTGACTCTTTACACATTATCTTTATTAGGTAGTTATAAGTAATTTTGGTCCAATTAACTATATACAGTGAGGCAAAAAAGTACTCAGTCAGCCACCAATTGTGCTAGTTCTCCCTCTTAAAATGAGTGAGGCCTGTAATTTTCATCGTAGGTACACCTTAACTATGAGAGACAGAATAAGAAAAAGAATCCAGAAAATCTCATTGTCTGCTTTTTAAAGAATTTCTTCGCAAATTATGGTGGAAAATAAGTATTAGGTCACCTACAAACAAGCAAGATGTCAGGGATGAAGCAGACAGAGACGGATCGTGGTGCGCCAAACTCTGGAAGTTCCAGTGGGTTCCATTGTTTCCTTCTCTCAGACAGAATAAAGGCAGTACACAGTTTATATAGTCATTGTCACGTCACACATCGAAAGACATACGTGTCACATCATAGTCAAAATAATCAGAGTCCTTGTAGAGTCCTGCACATAGGCCATATTGCTATCTAATACTAACAAAGATTTCTGGCTCTCACAGACCTGTAACTCCTTCTTTAAGCAAGTCCCCCTGCTTAAGCCAGTGCATGTCCAGGCCCGTCTGAAGTTTGCTAGAGAGCATTTTGATGATCCAGAAGAGGATTTGGAGAATATGGTCAGGAGAAACCAACATTGAACTTTCTTGTCATGTTTGGAAGAGAAAGAATGCTGGGTTGCATCCAAAGAGGACCATACTTACTGTGAAGCATGGGGGTGGAAACTAGGGATGTAAATCGGCGACCGGTTAACCGGTGGTTGACCGTCACAGCGTTAACCGGTCAAAGCTGTCGGTTAAAAAAGAGAAAAAGGGGAGAGGGGAGGTCTCTTAATAACGCTATTTTAAGCCCTATTTGCACGGTGTGACGAGCGGGTCCATATCTGGCTGTGTGCGCCCATGTATTATAAACTCCGGGACGACTCTCACGCCGCACGAGCCACATATGCACACACGCCCTCACACACACACACACACACACACACACACACACGCGCACACACACATACACACACACACACACACACTTTCCCCCTCTCCATACGTAACATCCACACGCATCATCTCTCCCCTCTGTCACCGTCAAAGTTGCACACTGGCGCGGGTCAGAACTACATTGGAGCTTACATTTACACACACACACATATACATACATACACACACACATATACATACACACACATATACATACATACACACATACACATATACACACATACACACACACATACCGGTCTGTCGCGCTCCTCTGTGTCACACAGCCCAAAGGATCCTCAAATACGCGGCTCCAGTCAAACCACATGGAACATGTTTGTGTTTATGGTCCTCGGGATCAGCTCCACACACATCACTTGTATTTAAACTTTTGTGAAGACCTGTGAGACGTGGCTCGTCACTCGCTGCTCTGACCATGTGAACGAGCCGTCGTTTGCTGCTAGAAAGTTTTGGTATTAACCCGCAGCACAGCAGAATGGGAAGATTAAAAAAGCAGTTCTCTGTGCGCAAAGGTGCCGGAGCTGTTGTGGGTTTTGGCGCCGCTGTCTCAACTCTGATCCAGTAGAACGCAGAGCTGCACTTATGAAAAGTACGCGGCTCGAAATGGCTGTTATTTCAAAGAACGTGGACTATTTTAAACTACGCGGTTAACCGGTTTCAACCGGTTAATGAGGCTCGGTGGTCGGTCATGAAAATTCATAGTTTTTTACATCCCTAGTGGAAACATCATGCTTTGGGGCTGTTTTTCTGTAAAGGGACCAGGACGACTGATCTGTGTAAAGGAAAGAATTTATGTATTGTGAGATTTTGAATGAAAACCTCCTCCCATCAGCAAGAGCAAGTTGAAACGTGGCTGGGTCTTTCAGCATGACAATAATCATGATAAATGAAATACTGGTGTTTCAGGTTCCCCGGTGAGCAGCGGACAGGCAGTCATCATGGCTGCTCCTTCACACCCCTCAGGCCTGCTCTCGGCTCCAAGTAAAGGCCTGACTCTGTTCCCTGGGGCTCAACCCCCCGTCACCATGGTCAGGGTGGTTTCTGCCAGCTCTGGGACCATCCCCTCCAACGGCTACAGCTCCCCCCAAGGCCTGGACAGCTCTGAGCTCCGAGGTAAGGCTCGCTGATGTTACACCAGAGACACGCCCCCAGTTTACTGAGGCCCTGTCTACAGGTACCCGAGTGTCATCCACACGTTACCATAGATATCTGCTCTGAAAACAAGAGTTTTAGAAAACTCGGTGTGCACCTCTTGTAGCAGACCCTGATTCCTTCACTGTTCGGAGTGAGAGGAAAAATGCTTACAAAAATTGTAAAGCGCTTTTTTTTTTGTCCGTGAAAGTGCTATTTAACGCTGGTGCTAGCCCCGGGTCAAAATGCCACAGTGTATAAAAGTAGACCCTTTTATTTATTCTTTCCTTGGTGGTCCTGTTCGAATGTCCCACACTCCGGGACCGGTCAACCAGGGGTTGGGGACCACTGTATGAAGTGATGAATGCTAACATCTCTGTGGTTGTGGATCAGAGGCCCAGCTGAACAGAGAGCGGGTCATCCAGACAGTGGACAGTGCAGTGCAGGGGCCCGATGGCCGGAACTCTGTCCCTGGGCTACACCACCTTCCTGTGAGGCCGGTCACTCAGAATGGGCGACACAGCAGCACCGTGATGGCCTCGTCTGCAGCTGGCTTCAGCAACACCTCTGGTGAGAGACACTCACAAACATACACGGAACTTCCCATTTAATCATGACCCATAGTTGTACCAACATTTGTGTGTGTCTGTGTGCATGTGCGTGTGCAGTGCTGAGCAGCCCTCTGCAGATGCTAGCGGCCCAGGCCTCCAGCTCCCCACCTGTGCTTGTGAGCAGAGCGCCCCCCTCTGGAGACGAGCCACAGGTGAAGAGAGCCAAGATGGAAGACGGCTTCAGGAGCGAGTCAGTCCTGCACCACCACGTCATCTCTGCCCAGCAGCAGCCGGTCATCGTTGCCATGGCACCACAAAACCATGAGAGCAGGAAGTGAGCCGCAGGAACGGGGTCAAGGAAGAGGGTGAACGGCAGCATTACCCCAAACGGCTTTTATTCATGTGTGACACTGCTTCAAGCACACCCAGGGGAGTTTGTAAGGATCCACCAAGCGCAATAAGAGGCAGTTGTTGAGCTTTACCCTTTTTTACCAAGTGATACAAATTCAAACTGTTTTACTGTTCTTGGTCGCTCTAGCTGAGCTCTACATTTACTGTGGTTCACAATGTGTTCATTCTGTCTACAATATTCAACTTCAAATTCTACGTATCATACTAAAACAAGAATTATGAGGCAGCATATGAAATAGTGAAAAAAGTGATAGAACACACTTTTTTCCTCAGATCTTTTCCTTCTACAGGTCACTCACTGGTCAAAGGTGAGCAGTCATACACCACCTGAGCGGACATGTAGTAGTTCCAGATCCCACAGAGCAACCAACCCCTTTATTGGCTGTGGACATTTTGAGGCCAGACTGTAGTTTAATGTAAAGTGACGTGAATCACAGACAGTGAAAGGATAGTGGCCCAAAATAGAATTAAAGAAGTCATTTACATTTGCATTATACATGGACAGGCTAATTATGATGTCATCGATGAAAAAATGTATAAATAAATATAGTGGTCTCTATAACGCGCCTCACCTTTAGCGGCCTTGCTGTTTTGTTTTTTTACAGCGTTCTTCTCGTTTGTCAACAACATCATATAGCAATAGTATAATAATAGGACAGTTACCTTTATTTAAAGTCAGAATCACAGCGGTGCACTGCGTTAGTGACCGCGGGGAACATAGCTTTGCTGTATGTATTAGAACTGGATTCCACATCATCCGGTCCCAGAAAGTTCGCACTTGGAATCTTGTTTACTCCGTGTGCGCCAGATCAACCCCACAGTTCAGACTGCTCCAAACTTGAAACACAACGCAGAGAATATTGTAGTTTCTAAAGAAAATCCAGTCCTGAAAACTGAATATGGATCGCATTGATGATAGTGATCGAAGGCACTGTGACTTTGATATTCAGGCTCAGAGCGCTTTGAATTCTGCCTCGGTGTCACTCAAATGTAAAGTCCACTCGTTCAGGAGAATTTTCTCTCATAAAGCAGAGGGATAAAGGCAGGGGACCTGCCGTAGGTGCATCTGGAGAAACACAGATTTGACAAATACACTGAAAACCTGCGCTACAAGAAACAGCTGGATTATCATCTAGAACTCTAACATATAAACCTCAGCTTCTGTTGGGGGTGATGCACACCTCCTCAGTTTGGGGAAAAGTGGCTGTAGGGATACAGGCCTCAACAAAGACCCTTTTTAAAGATGTTATTTACACTTCTCAGGTCAGATTTATTTCCACAATGTCGATACAATGAGTACGTTTACAAAGCATAGGAAAACTGACTGTTCTGTCTTCGATGGTATAATCAAACCTGTCTGAAGAGTTTTGGTCCCGTCTCTGTGCTCCGCGGAGATGCAGCATCTCAGAACTTCACTCAAACATTGCAACTGTAATTACAGATAAAACTGCTATCGTACATATATCATATTATTATTATTATTATAAGGAAACCTTCTGTAGTCACATAACATTAGCTTTACATTGGGCATTTGATTTTCACACATGCTCAGCTGCTGCAGCAGAAATCATAAACTTTCCACAGCGCTCTTAAAAGCATCATGATTCCTGTTTACGTTTGTCTTTGCTTGAAGTAACAGAACGAAACAACAAAAAACGTGCAGTGTTGTCACACGAGTGACTGTATTTATCTCACATGTGTGAGTCTCCTATGCCTGTCCAAACACATACATTTCTAATACAAGTTTATACAAGCTTTTCCCTGTACTCTTAAATGCATCTCTGCCCGATGTCTCATTCCAATCCAATTTACGCAGCTCACACCTCTTTTGGGACGCATTGAATTTGCAAGCACCTTTATCCATCAGATTAAAGAGCAGTTTTCTGTTGTGCTTTGTAAACACACTCTCTGAGAAGGACGGTCTACAAGAGCAGAGCTTGCCTTCTGATGCTTAACCACGCCCCATGTAGCTCAGAATGGCTACTAAAATGTGAAAAAGAAAAACCGCTATCCCAGCAGTCTAACAGCAGCTTTTCATGTCTTTGGCATCATTTTAAGAGGAGACACAAAACAAACCGATAGACTTCAATGTTGTCTTCATTCTTTTAATTGTGAGTTAAACATCATTTGAATGATTTTTCTATTTTTTTTTTTTTTTAATCATTTTATTTTTCACTGTTAACTGAATCAAAAGCGACATTCTCACTGTACCTGTGGTCCACTATTCTGCACTGTCTGCGTTTGACCCTTCACTAAATGGTTTGGCAAAAAACATAGATTTAATCTTTGAAGAAAAAAACATCGTAATAGTTGTAGAATTATTTAAAGAAAAAAGTGACTTTTAATTATTGATATTAATTTTGGAACAACTCCAGCTTTATTTATAAGCCTATTTATATATATATATATATATAAAAACAAATCTTAATACAAAAGATATAGTGCACTTGACAATTGCATTAGAACTGTTTTTTTTTTTTTTTTTTAACACTACACAGATTTTTTTAAATATTCATATGATTAGTTTCTCTGGACCTACCTGCCTTGGGGCTCGTATACAGCAGTCGTTGTCTTTTGTTTAATACATAATTTAGTCAGTTTTGTGTCTAAAGAACTAATTGTAGCTCCAGCAGATAAAACCACTTGTTTGAGCCTATGCATTAGAAAGAGGCAGCAGAGCGTAGCTGAGTGAATGTAGACCAGTGATTGTGTGTTCAGAGAAGAAAACCAGTGAAAAAGAGCATTCTTGTAATCCTCCAGGCCTTAAGGACTTCTGCCTTTTCAGACCATCTTAACATCTGCTCTTTGAGGCTTCCACCGTTCGCCGACACTACATCCAGGTGTTTGTATTATTGTGTGCATTTTCTTCAGGGATGGGCGGGACCAACATACTTTATTTGTTCAGTTATTCCTTCTCAAGGTTCTTTTCATTTTTCTCTTCAGTCACTGCAAAGACCTCTTTCTGCACGAGTTAAAACAAGACTTTGATTCAAATCATATTCCAAGGAGAGTGTAATTCCTTTGTCTGCTTCCTAGTGAGGCACTAGCGCAGCTTTTGCATGTCCCACACACATCTCCATACTGTGGCTGTAAATATATACTGTATATCCTCTTCACAGCACTGCGAACATAGACCAGGCTTGCATTTGTCATTAGGAGTATGCTGAAGTGTCAGAAATATTGTAATTGGGCAGCAGGGGGCAGAAGAATGCTGTGGCCTGTTTTAGCTTTAATTCATGAACCATTTAACTCAAAATTGAAAAAGACGTAAATAAATGCATTCAAAACATACTTAGAGGTATCCCCAGACACAAGGTGGTTTCTTATGGCTTTTTCTGATCAAGATGTTAATTTAGTAATGCAGTGTATACAAGGACACAGTGTTCATGTTCACAATAACAGTTTGTAATTGGTTTCCAGGCCTATCATCCAATCAGGAAGCAGAATTAGCGTCTCATTGTGGTTAACCTGCAGAGACACTGGAAACAGTAAAAGTCTGAACGATATCAAACAACACACTGTCCGTTGAAACCACTGCTGAAAGTCCTTTTAACTCGTGTTGGACAATGACTGTTTGCAGTTTGCTCGTAGCCTACCTCCGTCTCCTGCCTTAAACGCATCCACATTTCACTTGTTTTTTCCTCCATAATTTCTGTAATTGTCGTTTCAATCAAGCACTATTCAGTTCAGTTATTGTCATTGCACATTAGAGTGGTAATAAATATAAAGCGCAATGATTGTATGCTGCTCTATCTGCTAAAGCTATTACAAAGTATTGTTTTTCCTATTTTTGTATACATGGAAAAAAGTTTTTTGCTGAACGTAAACGCGGCTGATGATGATGCTAACATTCTGGAAAACAATAGAAGTATGTATTTTTAAATGTTGCTGTTTTTTGATTTGCTAAAATGTGTAGCACAGATTAAAACAATTTGACAAATATAATTTAGTGGTGTCTTTGTCATTGTCAATAATGTGGGTAATTACTAAGATATTAAAGGTATATAGGAGGATTTTACCACATTTTAGGAAAGAACCGCCTTCTCCACTTTTTGAACAAAACTCTTTGGTCTTTTTTGACGAGCACGTGTGACCATGATCCACCTTGAAGTAGAAAATCCCCCATATACCTTTTTTAATATAAGATACTTAGTAACTTCAGAAAACGGTTTGTTTTCCATTAAATCGCTGTGTTTGTGAATTGTATTTCAGTTGGAGGACAGGTGCCAGTACAACTCGACCACAAGAATTTTGGAAATAAATGTTTGGGGGAAATTTTTTTTTTAAATGATTTTTCCTGACTTGACAATCCCTGGGTCATTTAGACCTTAGTCTCTATTTTAGGGTACTTTTCTACTTTTAACCATCTGTTGTACAAAGGTTATGATATTCCCCATTTGTGAGAAATGAAATAGACCATACTGTAGTTGATATGGACCGACAAAGGTGTGGGACCAGGGCCAATCCACATGGAACAACTGTCGCAGAGAAATAGGCCATAAATAGTAGTAGTAGTAGTAGTAGTAGTAGTAGTAGTAGTGTTTATTTCGAATTACATGCGCAATACAACACAAAACAAAAAGAAGAAACATATATATGCATAATTCGAAAAGGAGTAGGTAGAAGTGAAACTTATGCTTCCTACCCCTTGTTACAAACTTTTCACTTTACAGGAGTTCAAATGATATACAGGCATATTTCTCTCAGATATACAATTTACACTCGTCTCCATGAATAGTAATTTTAAATGCTGATTTCGCACCAATGATGTTCTTAGGTCTTGTCACTTGTTGCCATTTTTACCCAAAGCTGTTTATTTAATGTTAACATGGTTATGTATGTAGACCCTACATAGTGCAGTGCATTAAAAACAGTGGGTAGAATGAGCCAGTCGAGAGAAGATAATAGCCCCCACTCAACCCGCCCC